GAAGCATAAATGGAAGGGAGACTGAACCAAAACCATTCCATGGTCTACATAGATAAGAAGTGCCTGGGCAAGAACCAACTTCATGCCATTTTTCCCCATGTCTTACTCTGTGGAGCCCATCAGTTCATTGCCCTTTTGTGCTAAACTGATTAAGAAAAGTTGGCTTAATTAAGACCTTGCTTGTTCATTATAAAACAGGCAAAACCCAGCCAAGCTCTCCTAATTCAGAACAAGGGCTGGGAATGCCTTATTAAGTCTAGCCCTGTTCTTCCCCTTTGCATGTGTGGGACTACAGTCCCCAGAATTCCTAGCCAGCATAATCATTGGTTGGGAATTCTGGAATTTGTAATCTTAACACATTTGAGGCATGAGGTTGGAGCTGGTTTAAGAATAACAGCAGCTGAATCCTTTGCTCATTGAAGTGCATGATATTCACTCAATCGGTCCACAAAGACCTCAATGAAATCAAAGACTTAACATTGCACAGGAAAGAGAAGTGGGATAGAATTAGAGGCACAGAGAGTTTCTTGGCAAACCTTGCTCACAAATTTCTATCAAAGTGCATATAACAAAATATTCTTTTTGGCAAATATTTCATGCAAGATTAAAAACACATACAGAGGCTGTATATTAAGGAAATGGAGAAGAGTGTTGGAAACACTTTTTAAGAGACTGTTGAAGCCCAATTTGCCAGAAAGAATGCATTTTAAATGGTGGTTTTCCTTCGCTTTTTTCTAGATTATAAAAGAGTGCCTGAAGCTACAATAATCAATGACAATTACAGATGCTGGCCATCCTACCATCACAAAGGATGTCTCCTTTCTGTATTTGATGTAAATGAGGCCATAGAGGTATGCGAGAGTCATTCACAGTGCAAAGCTTTCGTCTTCACCAACCAAACAACTTGGACAGGTAACGGATGCCAACTAATAAAGTTTTTGTAATTCTCAACTAACAAAATGAGAATGTTTGAAAAAAGCAGGTTGGCACATTCAGACATCCACATAAGAAAAGAATTAATCTGTTTGCTCATGATATCATAATGGTCTGTGTGTTTACAGATCCTTGCTTTTAATGTTCCTTGGAGGACAGATAATGAGACATTTCTTTACTAAGTAAATGGTAATCGGTTCACCAACTATCTATTTTCTTTGATAGAATTGTACAAAGGGATTCCTTGTGACTAAAGCACATAGACTTGTCTGAATGAGGATCTACAAGTGGCAAATTGTGCTTTCCATCACATCTGAGTTTGCAAAAGGAGTCATTAACATTATAATTCAAACTTATGAGTTGACCTTCTCTACTCTGCTTCTCTTCAGATGAGCCAGGCCTCAGAATTCAGAATAAAATCAATAACTCCAAAATGAAATAAAAATGCAGCAGAAAAATAGTGAAACATTTTCAAATGGAGAAGAAAGATTAGCTCCAAACATAATTATGGAAGATATAAAACACAAAATATAAAAGCCAGTAAAGACATTGCTTGAGAGGAAAAAAACAAAAACAAAAAAATAAAAAAAAAGAATTTGCCTACGACTGAAAATCAAGAAAGATCCTCCAAACAAATCTCTCTGTGGAGGACATTTCACAAGTGGGGACTGCTACTGAGGAGGATCACCTCCCAAATTATTATGGAGGGGAATTTGGAGAAACCTCAGGAGGTCATTTAGCATATGGCTTTAGCATATAAAAAAATCTCTCTTGGCAGTGTCCAGAGGACAAGTTGTTGATGATGATAGCACTTAAGAGAAGGGATTTAGGGAAGCCACTCTCCTTTGTATTAAGACTAAGCGAAGGCAAAGGAAGGTCGATCTGCTACAAAAGTGATCCTGGAAAGTACATTCCAACGCCTTTTCTTTATCAGTCCTGATGAGTTCCAAAGAGATTAGCATGTGTGTGCTGGATGACTGCTTCCAGCTGGATGAAATGTAAGCAGGATCTTCCTTTGACAAGTAGAGCATTCTGTTCTCATATCTCAGCACTCGCAGATACTAACAAATGCCACCTCACTCAAAGGGCAGCCTCAAATGAACTCTGGAAACTTGACAAAGTTCATGTCTGTTGCTATCAGTCTTGGCTATTGAATTTATTATTAACTGTTTAATAATAACTTTGAAATATATTTCTGGCCTATGGAACAATTTACAAGAAATTAACCCAATGTAAAACAACACTTAACAATAGTTAAATTATATGCAGAGTCAAAAAACTTGCAAAGGAATCTATTACAATTTAACCTGTGTGACACATTATCCCTATTTGAACCTGAAAATTATGCATTTAGACTTTGTATTTTAGTATTATTTTGGGATGAATCTTCTTTGGTTACAACACTGTATCTCAATGTTTGATTTTTTTGGAGAGGGCAATACTTGAAAGATAAGATGGGGAAAAAGGACACACTGTTGTTAATGTCTTCATATCTACCCTATGTAGGTAGGTTTGTACAGAGCAAATTGTCCTTACACGATTGGCCTCTGCTCCATATCACTGACTGTTGTGGTTGCACAGGGAATGGTGACAGCACTGATGAGTCAGAACATGAATGCCATGCTCCTCCACTTTTAACAGTGTAGTGGATTATTTCAACCAGGAGCTCTTCATTACATATGGCAATATTGCTTAATTAATAATGTTATGCTTTTGTTGAGTTAGATCAGAATAAGCAGGATTTTAGTAATATTTGTATGTTGGTTTTATATTATAATCCATAAATAAACCAGGAATCCTGCAATATGTAGGTACTCACAGGACAATCGTATGAGTGCGTGCTGTTTATTTTTTTGTTGAGCCCAAAGACATTTGGGATAAACATGTAAAGATGTCTCACACTACTCTTATAGATGACCATAGATGGGCTATGGCTAGTCCTTAGAGGAAGGCTATTCCATTCTTAGAAGTAGCGACTGAGAACTCTTCATGTATGTTTATGATCCTGACTTGAAATATACCATGCAAAAGAAGAGGCTGTAGCTGAATAACCTCAGAGTTAGTTTTAGGATAAAATTTCCTCATCTTTCCTAATCAGTAGTAGTAGTAGTAGTAGTAGTAGTAATAATAATAATAATAATAATAATAATAATAATAATTTGTTGTCTGATAAGGTCGTCAACTTGTCTACTTCAAGATGGGATCCACTTCCATTGTGGCTGACCATGACAAGATAACATACGTGAAAGTGACTGGATGAAGCTTACGTGTTCTATAAACTCAATTCTGGGCAGGTTTACTCAAACTACTACATGCCTTACTCCATAGTAAGTGCACACAGGTTTGCTACCCTGGTTCAATTGGTCAATATGACAACAATTGGCTTTTTAATGAAAATGGCTGTTGCGTGCAAAGAAGCTGAGAATGGGGAGGAAATTGCACTCATCTTAATCTATAAAGTGTGAAACATAACTTTAAGAAGAGACCTGCATTACCAGGAGGAACGTGCAATATAATGACATTTTTAAAATGTGACTCTATATGATGAAGCAGAATGAAATCCAAAATGTGACACACTGCATGGCTAGCCTTATGGTGTTAGGAAGCAGCAGGCCCCTCAAGGGTGCTTTTCTTACTAGAATTATACACCCTATGTACAATTTTGCTTAGGGTTGGTTGAAAATTCTTCCTTTTCATAAGAAGCCCAGGACTACTTATTCCAATATTTATGTGAGTAAGTACAATTAATGCAGCACTGTTAAATCTCTTGAAGATCAAGCCTTCTGGAAGACAATCACGACTTCTATGGTTGTATGAAATATAGAAGAGCAAACATCACGGTGGTCCTGGGGTAAGGGATCGATATGCTATCAGAGTTGCCATCCGATTTTTAAAATATAGTAATTCTATCAGTTTTCATTAAACTAGCAAAATTTGTGGAAAAAAAATACGCTCAATTGCACAGCTTGCAGTAGATATTATCTTAAAAGAAACCTTGCTTCACTTTAATAGAGGAGGAAATCAAAGATGCGGTTCAGTCATTTTAGCCTTCAGATATAACGACCTCATGGGGTGTATTCTCTCTTGAGGGTATCAAGTATTACTTCACTGACTTTAGCATATCACAAGCTAATTCTGCAGCTCTTGGGACTCAGTTTGCTGAATGGGGCTCTGAATTTTTTACCCAAATGTCCCCCTGGTAGCACCACTGGAAATAATGCCACTTTTAAAGTTGCACTTGTCATCTGCAGTTTTAATCTGTACATGTAATAAAATTATGCATTTCATCTGCTGCTCTATTACTTTTTAAAAAATTGATTAATATGCTTTTAATCAGTCTAATTGGTTAATTGACTGAATGTTGCAGTTGTAGTACCTTTACAGTCAATCATATAGCCAATGTTTAGTTTAACATTTAGTTAAACTAGAAGTTGCTCCTTGTTGTGATGAATGAAGTAAGAGAGAGCTATACACTGGTAAGCCTATGAGTGTGAGTGTGTGTTAGTAAATGAGCAGGGAAACCTCTGTCTCCAGGATCACACCCTTAACTGAACCCATTTACTTTTCCCATATAGGTGAATGTATCTCACACAGCTTCAGAAATTAAAAGACCAAAAGACATGGGGACTAACCATATTCCTGTTAGTAAGAGAAAGGAAAGGAGATATTATCATGCTACAGAAACTTCTGAAAATTGTAGTCTGTTTATTTTATCCCATTGGACTTCATAGGAACCTCCAGCAATTGAGCCTATAAAGTTCTACATAGCTTCTGTTAGGTTTCATTTCTTGGTTATATTGATCCAAGGTTATAGGAATGAATTGATCAAGTTATGATGCATATCTAAATATCAGTTCAACATTTTGTTTGTGTATATTCCGGTCTCCCATTTTATCGTAGAATGGGACACTGGAATATCACAAACAGAATTTTGAATTGGCATTCAGACATGCATCATAACTTGATCAATTCATTCCTATAGCCTTGGATCAATATTTAGAATTGATTAGTATTAATTTGATAGAAACCTAAAAGTTTTGAAATCTAAGACTAAAGTGTACACTTGATGTGCTGCACACATGGAGATGTTTAATGAACTGAAAAGTCTGGATACTCACATTGATGGAATGGCCTATCCATATTTCTCTCCAAGGGACACTACTATGAAAGATATTCTCAGTTGCTTTTGGTTCTGAAAATTGATGGAATTGTCCCTAGAGGAGGCAATATAAATGCTGACATAACATCCTGCAAATCTAGGTGTTCAGAAAACTAAGGGGAAAAAAACCCCTTTGTGAACTTTATTTGGGTCTAGTCTCTTTTGTTTATCCAAAAGCAGAGAAAAATGTATCCCGTCATATCAGCATAGCAACTACCACTAATGAAAGATGTAATTTTTCCAGAGTATTTACAACAAAAGATAAATTTCTGCTGGGTGAATGTTTGGAATTCTTAAACTGTTGCTTACTAGCTTTAAAAATAAATGTTCTTAACAACAGCAAGTGAACCCAAGCCTTAATATTGCAAAACTTATTACAGGCAAAGTGTATATATGTAGATTATATGCTTTCAATGAAAGCAAGCAAGAAAATGTTAAACGTGACAAATGTCATGCTATTACCTAGTTTGTACATCCAGGAAACCTTTCTACTTTTGTTCTTAAATTGTTTATTTTTATATGAAAATAAAATGAAATGGATGGACTCCTTTCTGCCTTGGCTGTAACTTTTTTGGGTTTCTTTTCCTGCTGCTGCCCTATAGTACTGTGCTCTCATAAAGGTACCCTTCTAGAGATGGTAGCTATCAAACCAAGCAGGAGGTAGAACCTTGTGGCCTTCTATATGAAATGCATTTGTTTTATATGTTGTTTTAAAACATAAAATGATTGTATAAAAGTCTGACATGGGTTTCAGACTACAGGACCTACCACTGAAGAAAATACTGTTTGCCTTAGTAGGCATCAGCTACCTAAGAAATTGGACCATCTTTTGGATTTTTTTTTTTTTAGTTTCCCTTCCCAATTTGGATATCTGCCCCTCTCTGTGATCAAGCATGTTGTGATGTAACAGACCCACATTCAAATACACCTTTACTCACAAAGTTTAAGTTAGAAGATGATCAGTTACTATAGGAATACTAGAGGTTTATTTGAGGACAGGATTTGAGAAAATTCAATTATGCAGCTTTGATTCTTCTAAAGAAAATAGTTATTCCAATATATTTTAAAAATGTCTATACCCTATGCATTTCATTTCTGCTGGCCTCTCCATTTATTATTCTCCCCTTTCCTTTCTCAAAAGATGTAATACTCCTATCTCCAGATGGACTGTACTTGATGACACAGATTGCGGTCCATTACAGTTTTATGTAATAGATTTTAAGGTGCCTCAAAATTATTTGATTCTAAATATAAAGGCTTCAGTTAGGGTCAGTTTTATATAAACTTTTTAAAAAGCTAAAAAAAAAAAGTTTCTTATAGAATATGAGTAAAACCTGCAGAATAGAAATGCCCAATAAACATAATAATGCTATAATAACTTTTGTTCAAACTTCTTTAAATCCAGTTTTCAGAACACTTGTTCCTTTGCAAATGAAAACAGCAGAGGAAAGAAAGGTACACAATAATTTGTGCAGCAGGGTTGGGTTATGCATTTGTAGGATTTCTTGTGAGAAATATAGGAACTTTTTCATGTGTTCAAAATTTCAGTGTGTTTGTATTTTTCCTTGGCTTCTTCAAACAACTTTATATTTCTAAGGTAGAAAAATGAAAGGAGACACCAACTCTGCTCTAAACAATGATCCTGGGGATAAAAAGAAAGAAAATTCCTCAGATCAGAAGAGAGATATACTATTTACATAGTGCAAAAGGAACTGTCAACTTCTGAAATGAACAGTCTGCCAGGCAATTTAGCAAATGGGACAGGGGGAGCTGAGGAGAAAGGTAGCATTTTGACTGTAAGAGAGACCACATTGGTCTTAGAAATCTTTTCACATTTTTTAAGTGTTGAACTCCAAAGGGTGGGTGTTCAGTTGATTGGGGGGGGGGGAAGAGAAATTAAGAAGTAGGAATACAACTTGTTTAAAAATGTTAGTCTTAAAAATGGCCATGGTAGACTTTATATGCATGACATTATATATGCACTCTTACTGGCACTGGCAGCATAAACTAAAACTCTAATTTTCAATTTGTGCTCCACCATCACCCCCTAACTAGAGGAAATAAAACAAAGATCTCAAAGACTATGTACCATAGAATAAATATTTGTGACTAACATCCATTTAATCAAGTATCATTCCCAGTTGCCAAATGGATATATGGATAAGTATACTGAGGACACAAAACGCAAATGGCAGTGAAAAATAAGAGGTGCAGTGTATGACAATTCTATGTAAAAGCTTTATATAAGCAAAGCCATGATTTCTGACATAAGGTATTGGATACAACATGACAATCCTAGTATTGTATTAATATACTTAATGGAATAGAAAACCGTTAGCTCAGTTCTGATCTAATCTAATAGAATCTCTTTGTTAAGAATGTATATGTTCTGCTCAGCAACCACAATAACAGCTGAAATCTCCAGAATACATGATAACAATACAATTAAATCTCCAAGACCACTGAATTATAATAAGACAGATTATTAATATGAGAAAGGGAACTAAAAGACTCCACCTGGCCTTTTTGAAAACTCTATCTATCTGTCTACATACACACACACACATACATACATACATACATGCTCATGGTGCATAAGGTTAGTTGGTTTACTTGTCTTTTACTTGCTTAATTTTAATAAAACTTTAATAAGGTAGTTATATTCAACCCGTCCCACCTGATCTCACAGAGAGGGCATGCTCTGGACC